CCCCCCAGCGTGGGCACATTGCTCTGGTCTGCCCTCCCTAATTCAACTGATCCCTTCCCTCGGTATAGAAGCGGGGTGTTACGGTCAGGTCCTGCCTTTGGATAAATGGCTGGCTTTTATGGTCTTGCAGGTGGGAGTTCTTATACTTTTCTCGCACTACATGTATGTTGAGGCCTGAGGTGCAGATTCTGCTGAAGTGAGGGAAAGAGGCAGTCAGACGGCTCTAGGCATGGCACTTTTTTTGGGGGTGGGGGGTTGGACTTGATCTCTCAAAATTCACTGAGAATTTCCTGAGATAGAAGTCTAGGAGATGGTTCTCGGTTCCAGACAGAGAAGACTGTCCTGTTGTTCGTCAGATCGGACATGCACGGATTTGTGGGAGCGGTAGTTTTGCTCTTCCTCAGGCGCTCTAGAAGGGCTCCTCCCAAAGAACTGCCACTCCCGTGGAGCCCTTGTGACTCCCCAGGCTGTATTAGGGCAGTTTGCTTCTTTTTGAGTTGAGGAGCATGACAGCCGAAGCTTTCAGGTGGGACTCTTCCTGAAGATCCCCGGGCTTCCCCATCTTGGTTCACTCCAGATGTTTTCTTGGACTGCACATCCCAGAACCCCAGGCCAGCACAGCTGGTGGCGAAGGGTTCTGGGAATTGCAGTGCAAGAACACCTGGGCTGCCCTAGGTTGGGAATCCCTGCCCCCCCCCCCATGGCTTCCCATTCACATTCCAACCAGGTCTGACCCTGCTTAGCTTCCAAAAGCAGAGGAAAGCCCCTTTGCTCTGCGTAGGAGATGAGCGTATCTGTTTTAGTCTCCCCTTCCCCTCTTTGTTGGGGGGGGGGGTCCAGTGAGGATGATCAGAATAGAACCACCCTGGGCTTATTTTCTAGACTCCTAATCTGTGCTTCTTTCCCCTCCTTTCCGAGCAGTGGGGTCTGATTGACTGAACATCCTGGCGGTGCTTCGGAGAATCTCGCCATTGATTCTCTGATCATGTGAGATTGCTAATGGCCTTTCTCGAAGCCCTCGCCGAGCTGCGTTGTGCTGAGCGCCACTGCTAATGCAACCTCCCGCTTGCCCGGCCAGCACCTCTCTACAGCTGGCGGCCGAGCAGCCAGCGCGGCCCCTTCCAAATGTCTCCTTTCTTCTTTCCTTAATAAAAGCCTCTTACCCTCCCAGCTGTTAGCCAGCTGCTTGAACGCCACCTGCGTGGCTCTAATGGATGCCGGGCTGCCCATGAGCTGCTTGTTCTGTGGGGTCACATGCGCCTTGGATGTGGACGGAAAAATCATCCTGGATCCCACCACAAAGCAGGAAAAGGTAAATACCTTGGTTATTCACGGCGGGGTGCAACTCTGAAATTGGAGACTTCTTTCCACCCCCACCCCTGAACTTGCCCCATGATGCACAGGTGACCCAAAATTAAACCAGACCAGGCATAGCGACTGCTTGTTCCATAATCCACCCACCTCTTTTTGGGGGTGAAACAATATGGAGTTGGGGGGGGAGAACAAAGCTTTTTGTAATAAATAGAACCCATGCTCTTGGAAGAATCAAGGACCAGCCATTATTTTGTTATTGTTGAAGTGTGTAGTTTGGGCTTTTTCCCCCCCAGCGGGGATGGTCCAGGGGCTGCTGAAGATGGTCCAGGGGCTGCTGAAATAACCCGTTTCCCCGAAAATAAGACCCAACCTGAAAATAAGCCCTAGTAGGATTTTTCAGGATGCTCGTCATATAAGCCCTACCCCAAAAATAAGCCCCAGTTAAGTGAAACCCTGCCCTCCACCCTTGTGCAGCAACTTGAAGAAGAGGACAGGACTGTATGTGTCATGAAACAATAAAGCATAATAAGCCCTAAGGTGTTTTTGGGAGCCAAAATTAATATAAGACCCTGTCTTATTTTTGGGGAAACGCGGTAGGTCCGTGTGGGGGGTGTCATTCTCACCTTAAGCCTAAAAAGTAAAAGCGAAATAGGGGAAGATCTGGAACCTCAAGGCTTCTTTCTGTCTCCTGCCAGTCGTCCCCCAAGAAATGTGCTCTGGATCTGTTCTATAAACCTTCCCATCGTCCCCTGCCCACAGGGCTGATGGCCTCTGGAGTGCATTTGGAAAGCTGGGGTACTGGAATCGTTCACCCCGGGGTCTTCTGGTTCCCACCGGGCAGGGAAAGGACCCGTTGCCTTCCTGGATCTGTTTTGCTATTGGGTGTGTTCGTATTCTAAACACTCCGGGAGGCCGTGGAGGGCCTGGCGTGCTCTGGTCCATGGGGTTGTGCAGAGTCGGACATGACTCAACAACAACAACAAATGTTTGTGTTCTAGCAGATCTGTGCTCCGCCCGGGCGTCATCTAGTCTCAGGCATAGCAAAATGGATGTAAGCCCATCGGCGCACCTTTCTCGGCTCTGCTGAAGATCCACCTTCTTGCGGCCTGGCAGAACAGTCTCTCTTCCTCTCTGGCCGCTTCGTCCCCTCTCTCCCCCCCCCCGCCGCCTTTCCCTAATGGTTTTGCTTATTTATTGGCTGCTGGATCCCATCCATCGCCATCTGCCTGTTCCACCTCGGATGCTCTTCAATCAACTGCAGTTTGGCTCACTCTCCCTCTGGACTCTCTACTGCGTGCCAAGAGCAGTTACCCTCCCGGGAAGCTTGCCCCCCCCCCCCCCACAGCGAACTGTGCGTCCAGATTTTTTTCTACACCTTGCCTGGTAGGCAAGGCACGTGTGGATTCAGCAAAGTCCAGTTGTCTTATCTAGCATGTTGTGTCGCCGGTCAACTTTTTGGAACCCTCCCCTACTTGAAGCAAAAGACAGCCTATCTCACTTGTAAGATTCTGAGTCCGTGGGAACGTTGGTTATTTTTCAAGGATGTTGGCAAGTTTTTGGGGTCTGAATCTTTGGTACCCAGTTCCAACCCCAAGTCTGAATCCCTATTAAAAATAAGCTTTTTTCCCCAGGAAAAAAGGGAAGGATTGGCAGGTTCTGAGTTAAAAACACACACCCTAAATTGAGTCACTGGTGCAACTTAAGCGCAACTTGACTGCATGTCCTGCATCCTGAAACCGCATCCCTAGTTATTTCAGGGGTAGGGAGATACGACGATGCAAAGAGCATAGAATAGGCATGTAGAATTTTCTCCCCCACCCCCAAAATAGGCAGGTTTGAAAACCCCGGATACGTTTCATCTCTGTGTTATATAACGAACAAATGGTTTTAGGATTTGCCTCGCCGAGACTGCCTGGCTAAAATGCAGAAGGTGAAACTAATTATATGCCAGACTTAATTTGATGAATAATTTGCTCTGCGTTTTGAAGACACGTGCCCCAGGTAAATTGGTTCCAAATGTAAATGGATCCAGAGTTGCACCTTCTGGAATTCTGTTCACAGGGAAACGTGACTGAAAAATCTCTTTAGGGCTGTCTTGGGACAATTAATACCTGCCTAAGGCCAGACCTTTATATTGCAATTAAGGAATACTTTTAAATAATAACGATGTCCTTTGTCCCCTTGATTTTGGTCATAAACCAGATGGTTAATGATGAATCTAATTATTTTAGGTGATTTCCTTGAAACAGATGATAGGTACACACAGCCCTTTCCCGGTGCTTCTTGTTCATAAATTGATTCATACTTCAGATAGGTTACAAAGTAAAAGCAGTCATAGAATCGTAGAATAGTGACATTGGAAGGGGCCTGTAAGGCCATCCAATCCAACCCCCCTGCTCAGTGCAGGAATACAAGTTAAAGGATATCTGCCAGGTTGTTGTCTCTCAAGTTTCTCTTGAATATCTCCAGTGTTGGAGTGCTCAGCACCTCCCAAATTCATGGGCTCCGTTGTTGTACTGCTCTAACAATTAGGAAGTTTTTCCTGATATTCAGCCGAAATTTGGCCACCTGTAACTTGAGCCCATTGTTGTGTTTCTTGCTCTCTGGGATGACTGAGAACAGATCCTGCTCTTCCTCTGAATGACAGCCTTTCAAGGACTTAAAAAGTATTATCCTATCACCCCCCGTCGTCTTCTCCCAAGGTTAAACATGCCTTGAGTCATAGAAACAGCTCACGAACAAACTCAGTAAATCAGCGGTTCCGAAGCAGAAGCTAAAGTATGCTAAATCACTGAACATTAAAACAGCGGCAGGAAGACAGCAGAACTTAAACAACCATATCCGATTGAATCAGCAAGATTCAGAGAGCAGAAAATTGAACAGACGGCCCAGGAGAGTAAAATATTCTTCCCTAGATGACCGAGCAGAAACAACGCAGGTGCCAAGTGGATATTTTTGAGGAAAGTGTTGGACCAGGCTATTGCAGAGGATGGCATCTTTCAGAAAAGCCTTGACGGAGCATGAAAAAGTAAAGATCTGGTCATCGTCTTGTGGATTGGATATTTTTGAGGAAAGTGTTGGACCAGTCAGAAGGTTATTGCAGAGGATGGCATCTTTCAGAAAAACCTTGACGGAGGATGAAAAAGTAAAGATCTGGCCATCGTCCGTAACACTTCTTCAGGCTTGAGAAGGTCTTCGTCGTTGAACTTGCTGGCGTCGGCTGCTTCCAGAAGTCCATGGGAAGAGCAAATCCATTTGGATATTTTTGAGGAAAGTGTTGGACCAGTCAGAAGGTTATTGCAGAGGATGGCATCTTTCAGAAAAACCTTGACGGAGGATGAAAAAGTAAAGATCTGGCCATCGTCCGTAACACTTCTTCAGGCTTGAGAAGGTCTTCGTCGTTGAACTTGCTGGCGTCGGCTGCTTCCAGAAGTCCATGGGAAGAGCAAATCCATTTGTGCACCTTGGAGCCCATCTGTCATTTCTCTCCCTCCCGCAGCAATTTTTTTTCTTTAAAAAAATTACATTTTTTTACTGGCAAAGTGCACATGCGCCCTCTAGTGGAAACTTTAAAACTTTTAAAAACTACTCTTTAAGTTTTGTTTTTGGGTGTTTTGTTTTTTAAGGGGGTTTGCTGTCTGCCCAAGTCAGCACTTAGATCTAAGCAGGTGTGTAGGGTGGAAACATTGGGTGATCAGTACCTGGAGTGTGAGTTGGAAAGAAGGCTAGGTGGTATCTTTTGGTGCAACTCTGTTGTACAGTTTCTTACCATCTTGGCATGTTCATACCCACCAGGTCTATAGAGCCTGTGTCCTGAGCACACTCCTGTACTGCAGTGAGTCCTGGACCCTTTGGGCACGGCAGGAGAGGAAGCTGAATAACTTCCACGTGCGTTGTCTCCAACGCATCTTGGGTATCACCTGGCAGGACAAAGTTCCAAATAGAGTAGTCCTAGAACGAGCTGGAATTTTTAGCATGTATACATTACTGAAACTGCGATGTCTATGTTGGCTTGGGCATGTCGTGGGAATGGCTGGATTCCAAAAGATCTCCTGTATGGAGAATTAGTGCAGGGAAATCGCCCCAGAGGGAGACCACAGCTGTGATACAAGGAGATCTGCAGGCGGGATCTGAAGGCCTTAGGAATGGATCTCAACAGATGGGAGACCTTGACATCTGAGTGTTCAGCCTGGAGGCAGGCATTGCATCCCGGCCTCTCCCAATTTGAAGAGACCCTTGTCCAGCAGGCCGAGGTCAAGAGGCAGTCCCAAAAGCAGCAAAACCAGGGAGCTGGGCAGGGGACAGATTGTGTTTGTCTTCCGCATGGAAGGGATTGTCACTCTCGAATTGGCCTCCTCAGCCACACTAGATGCTGTTCCAAGTCCTCCGTACAGAGCAAGTTACCATCGTCTCTCGGGACTGGAGAATGCCTTCTGAACCCACCAGGGTTCTGGAGATCATCTTTCTGGCTATTTTAGATTCCTGCTGAATTTCCAGCTTGGAAATGAAGATATAAAGGGAAAGACCCTGAAACATAATAATAGATTACCAGCCTTTCTCTTTTGCCGATTCTTAATTATTCCTCAGCCTTTTGGAAGCCCTGGCTCTGTTCCAGAGTCTTAGGAACGCCTGCTCCTGCCCCTAGTTTGTTAATTTTGTAACTCCTCTGGTGCTTACAGGGGCTGTAGTGGGCACAGCTAGATGACCTCAAGGGGATCCTGACCATCTTTCTTCCTTGTTGCAGGAAGCTCAGGCTGTCCTGACCTTTGCCATTGACAGCGCCGAGAAGAAGGTCTTAATGTCGACCACAAAAGGGACGTGTTCAGTGGAACAGGTGAGTGTATGGCCTGGCTCACAGTGGGTGTATCAAACCTCTCGGAACTCGAAATTTGGGCCGATGTTTACCTTTGGAGTGGTAAGTCCACCTCGGATAACCTTTCAGAGGCAATTCACTACATCTGGGAAGACATATATGGTGTCTTGGATTTAACACACAGGACAGGGCCTTCTCTGCGGCTGCTCCCAGACTTTGGAACTCCCTGCCACTGGAGGCCAGGCTGGCCCCATCTTGGCTGTCCTTCCTCAAGCAGGCAAAGACCTTTCTTTTCAGGCAAGCTTTCCCTCAAGGACGGGCTGCCTGATTGGGGTTTTTGAGTGGATGGGTGGTGCTTTAGTGCTTCGAATATGCTTTTGGTGCTGATCATGTTTTTTTTTTAATGCTATTGTACTCATTGTTTCTTTTAATATTGTCTCCTCATTGTTCTTGATCTTAAGTAGTGTCTTTTGATTGTTCTGAGCTGCCTTGGGTCCTTTTTAAGGTGGGTTGAACCTATTTTAAATAAATAAGTAAACTCTGGGGTCCACAGATGTGAAGGGGAAAAGAGCCGTTTTGCTAAGTTAGGCAGAAAACCAAATTAATGCAATACATCAGGGAATATTTTTTAAGAGAGTCCAGTCAGCGATTGTGAGGACCCATTCTTGGCTGTTCCTAGGCATCTTGCTGGAAAGCCCTCCTGCCCGACGCAGGTAGATTTCTGCACGAAACCCATCCTGCCCGAGGCAGACATTGAATTCCTATCTAAGTCATTTAATTTATTGGGTGGCGCTTCTCTTCGCCTTTCTCCAAAGTTGGGTTTGAAATGCAGAGGATATTAACTCTGCGTGATTTCCCTCCCCTCTTCCCAGTGGCAGGGTGCACAGCATCCTGAGGGGTGTGTGGTTACCACGGAAACAGAGGCCTGGATGAAATACCCCATCTCAGCACCTCTCGGGGGTCCAGGCCCTGTCTTTACCCTTGCCAGTAAGAGCAGCTGTCTGTAGGGCTTTTTATTATGTCTTGTAGTTTTTTAATCCCCCCCCCAACCAAAAGGGGAAGCTGCAGTGACTAGAACTGACAGTAGGAAGTGGCAGTCTTAGGGAAATCAACCGCCTTTTCCCCAGCGAGAGGATGGACCAGAAACATCAACGGCAGCTGTAGAGGCTCCAGCTGACTCCATTATGGCTGTCGACGGTGTCAGAATTCATTTAAAGGACATTCCTCATGTCTGGTACCCCTTCGTCTGCGCACGGTGATGACTGTTTCCGGGGTTCGATCCCTTCTGGGCAAATGCTGTGCTGTTTTCTACCCCCTGTCTTCCAACACACCGATGTGAGTTGGGTCACCAAAGCATCTCAGTATTCTCCATCGGTGCAGCCCAAATGGCTCCCGCCCGCCCGTTTTGGTACGAGACTTCAGCCGGTCACGTCGTCGGGCGTTATCGGCATGAGTCGGCCTGAGCATTCATCCCCAGGCACGTCTATTGCTCTCGCTGGTTTTGCCGCAGGGGGAGAGGAGTGGGATTCATCATCATCCTACCACCACCGACCCAGGAGAAACAGACTCCGTTTGGCAAAGCTTCTTAATATTCCGGCCGGAGGTGGCGGTGTCGTTTCTCATTACCGTTGCCGCATCTTTGGCAAATGGCTCGGAACGCCGAGCCCGTCCTGCGCTAACGGACCGCTCGCGAACGCTAATGTGCCACTGAATGGAGGTGGCAGCCAGGCGCCATTAATTAAACAAGTGTTTCTGTCGGGAGGTGGGGGGAGGTCTGCTTTGGTTTCGTGATGAATTCTAAAGGGTTTACAGGTTTAAGAGAAAAGGAAAGCAGCAATCCTTTTTTGAAACAAGAACAAGGGGTTCAGCCTTCTTGAGGTTTGTCGCGACCAGTGTCAACCCAGCGCCTTCCAGATGTGCGACGGCTTCTGCCTCCCGCCCTTCCGGACCCACAGGGCCTGCCTTTCTGTGCCTGCCTGCGGGTGGCGGAGGTCGCAGCCCACACATCTGGGGAGCCCCGGGTTGGTCGGTTGCATGCGCGATGAGATGTCTCTGCCCTGCGTGTTCCTTTCACGAAAGAACAAGGGAAGCGGAAGGTAATTATAACACAGCCGTGGGCGGCAGGTTATTCATCGGCTTCCTTACACATCGCGCCCTGTGAGCCAGCGTCACCCTGGGGTGGTCGCCGGCTAGTTGGGAAGGCAGGACTGAGAAGGGATGTCGTCCTGAAGAGGCGGAGGTGGCTTCACGTGTTTCGTAAAGCAAAGCCAGGTGTTCACGTGGATGGAAGAAAGCATGTGCAAGCGAAGAAATGACATATGCATGTATTTGAAGGCTGCTTCTGTCCATAGCATATCGTCATAGCCTTGTTGTTTTCACTAGCCCATTCTTTGCTATTGATCAGGGGGTTGTTACTGCGCACTATCAAGTTACTTCTGACTTACGGCAACCCAGTGTATGAGTCTTCTTCAAAATGTCCTGCCTTCAACTCCATTGTTCAGCTCTTCTAAACTCAAGCCTGTGGGTTCCTTTAGGCATGCAGTCCATCTCGTATTGGGTCTTCCTCTTTTCCTGCTGCCTTCTGCTTTTCCCAGCATTATTGTCTTTGCCAGAGAATCCTGCCTTCTCTTGAGGTGCCCAAAGTAGGACAAGCCTCAGCTTCCACATTTGTTTGCCTCCAGAGATGGTTCAGCCTTGATTGGATGTAGGACCCCCCCTTGTTTGTCTTTCTAGCTGTCCAGGCTATCCCCAAAGCTCTTCCCCGGCACCACCTTTCAAACAGATCAGTGTGTTTTTTTTCTCCTTCTCCTGCCAGCTTTCTTTCTTGTCCAGCTTTCACACCCGTCCATGGGGATCGGAAATGCAAGAGTGTGGGCAAGCTGCAATTTACAGTTCAGACTCTTCTCTTTCAGGTTTCTCTGGTGGTGAGGGGGGGACATCCCAAAATCCATGGGCTATAAGGGCGCCCAAGCCGCCGTCTTCTACCGGCGTGACCTTGTGCAAGCAGATAAACCCCCAATTCTAGTATTGCTCCTTCCCTCCCCCTACCTTCTTCCCGGCCGCCCCTCCAACACCTCTCGGGAGGTGGAGAGTGGCGATGGATGGATCACAGAGCTGGCATCCATTCACCACTGTCACATGCCCTAATGGGAGGCCATTTGCTCTCTTGCTGAGAGCAGGAGGCGGTGGGAGCCCAGACAATAAATAAGTATGATTTACCTCCATCTCCAGTGTGAACTCACCCACAGCCTCTGCTGCCTTTAAACACTGGGACTGCCTTCGGAAACCCACTGGGTGGGGAGCAACGGGAGTGGGCTGTTTCTTATTTTTTTGCAAGCTGGCAATCCCTCCCCACCCCTTAAACCCCCCCAGGTGGCAGCTCCGAAGGGGTGGCCTTTCCATCCTTCTTCCTCCTCGCCCACCCCCACTGCTTGCAAAGTTTTCCTCCATCAGTCCTCGGGAGCAGAGCTTTTAAATTTACTTGCTGAGTGATTTGGGGGTGGGAGTGGGGAACAGAAAAGCCCTCAACCCGGAAAGGAAAGGAGGGGAGAGGCTGCCGTAGCGATGTGAACCTCAGCAAGTAACGCACATGGACAAGAGCCATGGCTTGGAGGGGGGGACGGGGTGTCTCTTAAATCGTGCAGGCTGTTGCTGTGCGGTGCTCTCCGTCCGGCAGTATTTTGGAAGAAAACATCTCTTAAAGCTGTGGCTTTCTGCCCCACGAAACAAGTACAGTGGTGCCTCACTAGACAGTTACCCCGCATGACAGTTTTTTTTGCTAGACATTGACTTTTTGCGATCACTATAGCGATTCGCAAAACAGTGATTCCTATGGGGGAATTTTGCTGGACAATGTCTTGTCTCGCCTTTGCAAACCGATTTTCACTAGACAATTTTGACAGCTCCCTCCGCGCTCACAAAACGAGTGTTTTTGGGACCTGAGCTTCGCAAGACAGCTATTTAAACAGCTGATCGGCAGTTCGCAAAGCAGCTTTCCTGTGACCGATCTTCGCTAGACAACGGCGATTCTTCCCCATTGGAACGCATTAAACAGGTTTCAATGCATTGCAATAGGGAAATGCTTTTCACTAGACAATGATTTCGCTAAGTAGCGATTTCAGTGGAATGGATTGTCATCGTCTAGCGAGGCGCCACTGTAAATGAGTTTCTCTTAGATCTGTGGGAAACTATGGAGAGAGAGAGAGCGAGAAGCTGAAATCCTGCTTTGAGTGGAAACCGAGATGCAATTTTCCATCCACTCCTCCCTGCTGTGATTCTTAAGGGCAAACGGGGGTCCCCACCAACCCAGCAAGCGACCGTGGGTCCTCCCCCCCCAAGACTACAGCAGGGGGATGTGTCTACCCTGGAGGAACAGATGGGAAGTTACGATTTGGCTTACCCCCACGAACAGGATTTCAACCGAAGACTTGTTCATTTGCTGTTTGGTCTAGAAAGAACCTCAAATTTCCAAAATGAGGCACCAAAGGACTTCACTTGGCCAGCATTCTTGTTGAAAAGCAGTCTGTCGGGAAGGATTCGAACGGATCAATTCTGCCAGTTTCTCCCATCAACTGTTAGGGCTCCCAGCCTTTCCTGACTCAGCACCTTCTGGAGATGCTGAACTACAGCTCCCACCATCCCCAGCCAGTAGAGATAGGAAGGGGTGTCGGACTGTCATTGAATACGTCTGGAGACCATTCCTGGTTCAAAAGGTGGACTGGAAGACATAGTGTGTGTCTGCGCGTTGCAATCCACCAGCTTCCGGAGAGCTAGGGGTTTTGCCCATTATTTATCTGTGCTCACCACCGGCTCAAGTTTAGAGAGAGGCTGAGTATTAATTAAATGAGAAACTTCCGCGAGGAGGGCATGCGCTGTGCCACTATATAGCCCGTTATTCTGAGGCTGAACACCTCTTCTTAAGTTCTCGATAATCCCTCCTCCAGTTGCGTCTTGAAGAAGATGCAAAAAGCATCGCCACCAGGACCCCTCAAGGGGGTTCGCCAAAGTCACGGCTGGTGCATCTTTTGAAAAGTCAGGCGCCGTTGGCAGGAATGCAGCCAGACTATGAGGATCCATATTTTAAATGAAGAACCCTCATCCCGACTTAATTCTCTCGGCTGGTAACCTTATCTGTCGCCCCCACGCCTCCTTGTCTTCCTTTGGACTGGCGTCTCAGCCCGTCCCCAGCCCCCGGGAAATCTTGACAAGCCATCTGAAGGAGGCCAGGGAGGAAATGAAAACCACCCTTTTGAATTTCCCAGATAATGGCTGTTGAACGAACTCTTAGCAAGCTGGTCGGTCCGAGTCTGTTTTGCTTTTCATTGGCAAGCCGTGCGATGGCTAGATTTAAGGACTAGAGAGAGAGAAAGAGGATTCATCTCCTTATCTTCCGTTGCTAATATTACATCGCCCTTTGCTTCCAGTCCATGCCTTCGGTCCCGTCCTCCTCCTCATTTTCAAGTCCCAAGCCTTGAGGTTTATATTTTAAATAAAATAAGTTAATTAGTAAGTTTAGATGGACTCGGGAATTCTTAATCTGGGATCTGTGTAGAAAAAAAGGCCTTAAGTATGATCTTTCTGCTCCTTAAAGCTTAGTATCGCAGGCGTCCTGGGGAAGGCAGAAGGTTTACCTTCTTTAAAAGGTCTGCCTCTTTTGTGTTTTCCAGTTCAGAAACTAATTTCCCCTTTTTGCGGCAGGAGGAAAAAAAATCAGGTTTCTGGGTCTGATGGTTGCTAAGAGAGGCTTGAAAGCAGGGGAGATAAAATTGTAAATCATATTTAAATTTTAAGTGATTTAAGCGACAATTTAAATTTTAAGTGATTTTTTTAAAAAACATTATAATAATAAAAATCACTTTAAAAAATTTAGATCCATTTTTAAAAATCAAGTCCGCCCTGCTTGAAAGCGTGTAAGGGAACAACTGCTGAAGCCTTCAAACCGACAGGGCTGTGGAGGCTTCCCACCCATTGCATGTGTGGTTGTAGGTGCCGCAATTAGGGACAAATCACACAAAGTGTGAAAAAAATGTAGCACAAAACCGATTCCCCCAGCGAAGCCCTTTGCAAAAGGAGGGTGCAAAAAGTAAATCAAGGCGTGGAGAGAGAGAGAGAGAGGTGATTCAACCCAGCCTGATTTCCCTTGCCTTTGTGTTGAATTTCGGTTGCCTTTACTCTTTCTTGAGCATCAGTCCTGGTCTGCTGGTCACCTCGTGGCTGGATAGTTCTCGGATCAAAATTTTACGGAAAGGCTCTGAACAAAACGAACGGGCAAGGGGCAAATTCTTTACATCTCCCCAAGGAAGGGAGGTTTGCCGAGAACAGCTGCCCTTTGTCATCGTGGCCTTAAAAAAATAAGAAAAGACAAACAGGCAGAACGTGGCGAGGGTGTGAACGGGCCTTTATGGCTCCCGGCGCAGCCCGGCTCGCCGCATCCTGTTCTCCGCATCGGTTGGAAAACGGATGCAACGCTGGATGAGGCCGGAGGGCAGAACTCGGATTCCCGATTTGTCGCCGTCCGTCTGCACGCCGCCTTCGGTGTTGCCAATGGTGGCGAGGGAAGTCGGCCGGGTGGCTGTCTGCCTGCGAAGCCGTAGCTGGACTCTGCCCCCCCCTCCCGGCGCATGGTGGCTTGGCTTGGCCCGGGCTGGCACCGAGGGCAGAACTCGGATTCCCGATTTGTCGGCGTCTGTCTGCACGCCGCCTTCGGTGTTGCCAGTGGTGGCGAGGGAAATTGGCCGGGTGGCCGTCTGCCTGCGAAGCCGTAACTGGACTCTGCCCCCCCCTCCCGGCGCACGGTGGCTTGGCTTGGCCCAGGCTGGCACTGGCCCCCGCCAGTCCGGAGGTCGTAATTGAGTTGAGAAAGACCTAAGCGGGCCTGATAGCTCTTGACAGTCCTCGCCGGGTGGCTTGTCTGCGACAGACGAGTTGCTGAACACTCTCTGTGTGTCTTTCTCTCTCCCTCTTTGACAAGTTTGGGAGCTCCCCCTTGCATATAAATGGACTCATTAAGACATAAGGAAGAAAGGGGGAAAGTTCGCTTGCTCTTTGCTTGCCCCTTGGCTTCACAGAGGCAGCAGGAAAAGGCAGCACGTTGGTTTTAATTGAGCCGAAGTACTGTAGCTGGTGGGTGGTTGAGAGGGGGTGGATGGCCAGCTTCTTGCGTCCAACCTTTTTCTTTTCTCCCCCCCCCACATCTGTTTGGAGCGGAAGTCTTTCATTGCTTATCCCTTCGATAAGCGATAGAAGTCTTCCTCCCTTCCTGCCGCTCTGTGTCCTGCTTATCCCTTCGATAAGCGATAGAAGTCTGGCCTGCCTCTTCCTCCCTTCCTGTGTCACCTTTCCAAGCTGGCCCTTTTTTGTTTCTTTTCTCTTTCTCCATACTGAAGGATAGGTGGATTGTGCCCTAGGACAGTCCGTTTTGGCACCCAAGACCTTGAATTTGACAAGGGGCATCTCTCCTTTCCACGGTGATCAATGCACGGTCATAATAAACACTGTAGGACCCCCCATGTCCACGTCTTCACGTATCCGCAGTCTGAAAATATGACAAGAAAACTAGAAATATGGATTTTCATGATGTATTTACCAAAAGTGGCCACTAGAGGGAGAAAGAGATGTAGTCTTGTATTCGCAAAGGCTTTCATGGCCGGGATCTAACGGTTGTTGTGGGTTTTTCGGGCTCTTTGGCCGTGTTCTGACAGTTGTTCTTCCCAAGGAAGAACAACCTTCAGAATACGGCCAAAGAGCCCAAAAAACCCACAACAACCATCAGATGTAGTCTTGTTGAAGAATATACAGCATGGCCTCTGGCTCCCTCTAGGGACCACTTCAAGTAATACATCGTGAAAATACATATTTCTGGATATTGTCTTTTACCATGCTATGTATAGTTTGCTACTATCCACTGTTTACAGCAACTGCAGGTGGGAGCTTGGAACCAGTCCTTTGCAGATACAGAAGTCCTACCGTAGTTAACCATTTTCTGCTTTTCCGTGACCTCTGGAATCTGTCACCTTGGGGAGAAAAATGAACTAGAAGGATTTAAAATAAATAAATAAATAAATTTGGGGCCGTGGCCTCCTTCTGCCTAAGAGTTGGGCTCTCCCCCATGTTGGGAGCCTCCGTGTATAACGGCCTCTCCTTTCCTTTCTCTCTCTCTCTGCAGCTCCAGCAGTGTATTGCCGCCTCGCAGCGAGCCGCCGACACCCTTTTCCAATTCTACCGCGATTCCGCTCGCAGGAAATACTCCAAGTGGTGACCCCGATCGGGAGCAGGAGAGACTGGCTGGCGATAGGGGGACGGGAACACCCCCCTTTCCTCCTTCGGGCACCTCCTTCTCTCCAAAGGACAAGGAGTTGCAATTGGACCGTTCTGATTTCGGAAAGCAACACCTGTTGTGGGTCCGTATTGCATGATGTCCAAGCAGCCGGGTGCTCTGCCAGCGACCCACCACACCTTGGGCACTGCCAGCTGCCTCTGAGTGCCAGGAGACGTACACTCTCTCCCTCCTCTTAATGTATGGATCTTCCATTTTTGTTATCATGGCTGTACATAGTTTATTTCTCTCTCTCTTTTTTTGAACTCCCAACAAAAATCATCTGCACAGACCGTCTGTCTCACCAGTGAACGATCTCATCTCTAGCCTTGTTCTCACTGCAGATGTTCCTTTCTGATGTCTTCGGCCTGAAATAGTCATCGGCTAATCGTTTAAAGTTCATTTCCTCTCTTTTCATCTGCCACGACAACCACTGGCGCCTTGCTAATTAAAGGAAAGCCGGGGAGTGTGGGGGGGGGGAACCCCTCCAGCTTGAAACCTAAGGCCATCAAGGGCTGTCCAGAATCCAGAATGTGATCTCGGGTGGTTGAGCTTCGCTGTTCCTTTGTGAGCTAGTTCGTAGAAGTGGTCGGAGGATCCAGCTGAAACCCACAAGACCCGGGTTCAAATCCCCACACCTTCACGATGCTCAAGGTGTGATCTGAAGCTGGCTGCCATATCTTTGCCTAACTCGGCTTCTTAATTATTATTAGTCACTTATTAGCATTTAGTAAGGTTTAACTAGCCTAGCTACTTTGAAAGCCCAAAAGCATGTGTATGCAACCATGAGATTGAATTGGGGGATCAGTAATTAAAATCTGCCCCCCCTCCTCTGTATAGGACCATTTAGTCTTGAATCCAGATCAGGACTGAGCATCCAGCTTGGCCATAAGATATGATGGGACTTGTAGTTCCTCAGTACCTTTCTACCATAGTTTCATAGCCAATGAGGACTAGAAACCTACTGCTTTAAACGGGTACTTCAAAATTCTGTGCCGCCACACAGCTTTCACAGGGTGAAATCCTGCACTTCGAGGGCCATTTGGGCCACTGACTTGTCGTGTGGCTTAGTCACATCCCTCTTCCCCATTCAGTCCTTCTCTGTGATGACCTCCGGGGCTGCCCCCCGGGGTGATGCAGACCGGCGGGCTTCCTGGCACCCTTCGCTCCTGGCCTCCCTCCCTTCCCGAACCCAGTTCCGGCCTCCCTCTTAACCTTCACCAGCCGTCTGGCTAAGAAGCAAACCGCCTCGATTCTGATTAGCGAGCCTGATTATCTTGATGAAACAATCCTTTTTCTTCTCCCGCTTGACCCTTTTAGAGGTTTTCATCCTTTTGCGATTCAAACCAGCTGCCCTTCCGGAACATCCTGGCGGGTTTTGGGTAGGCACCAAAAAAAGAACCATCTTTTTTCTCTACCACCTTCTTTTCCTTTCAAAGACGGCGTGTCCTCATCTGCCCTCTTCTATAGCAGAAAACTCCTTCCGTTCTTTCCCCGCCCTCTGCTTCCCATCTCTTGCAATGAATATGCAATCGGACCCTACTAGCTTGTTTCTTCACTCCTTTTACCCCATCTGTTCACCACCCTGTGCTCCACGGCCTTGCGGGGAGGGGGAAAAACAAGATTCTCATTATTATCCAGAATTGGGGTGTGCGCGCATGCGTGTCGAGGGGACCCTAGCACAACCCTGTCATTCAAGCATTTTATTTTTATTTTTTTGCAAGAGGAGAGCAGATCACGGTTGAAAGGTGCCTCTTGGTTCCCTTGCTTTTCAATTAAGCTTTGTTTTGGAATCTGTGTTCTGTCTTTTTCTGCCCCAAAGGTCTTCACGCTCCCAGATTTTGCTGCCGCATTGGCTTCCCAGATGAAGGAGCCATCTGTGTTTTTGCTCATTAAGCGGGGAACGCTGGAGCCGGCTGGGCCCCGCTGTTTTAGCCTTCCTGCCTGCACAAACTTTCCTGCATCTGCCCCCCCCAGTTTAGTCCCAGCCCACTGCTTCCCCCCACCCACCCCCAAAGCCTAGGGCACAGATACTAGCATTTGCTCAGCTTCTGCTGTCATTTGTGGTACGGCTAATTCTCGTGTACTGCCTTTGAAGCCTGACACAGGATTTGAGCCGGGCGGCAGCAGGGAGGGGGGCGGCCGCCTCTCCGAGAGGTGCCAGGCCAGCCTCTAAAATCTGGTCCCGTCAATCCCCTTACAAGCCTTAAGGATCCCATATCCTCTCTCCAGATGGCCAGATCTGGCCCTTTCCAGGGAAGCCTCCTCCTGGAGGGTCAGGTTCCATCTTCCTTCTGGTTGTGTGTTTGGGGGCTGATGGGCATTGTAGTCTTTCTCGCGCACACCCGGCGGTCTCCAGGTTCTCTCCAGCCTAGGTGTTCGTAACCAAACAGCCACGTTTCTAGCTGTGGATGGACTGAGCCTAGAACCTCTTAGACTGTTTCTTGCAACAAAATAGGTTGGCGGCTATTTTAAAAACCTGCAGGGGACCAGGAGTCGCGACCAGTGAAGCTGCAACAAAATGCGGCAGAGGAGAGTGCTCTGGTGGACTATGGTAGCCCCTTCCCCAGAATACTCCCATGTTGTTTCCCTTCCAGAGCACCACTCAGCATCCGGTGGTTTCTGAATACACACAGTTCTGCTTGGGCTTTGCCAAAGAGGTGGTGGAAAGCCGCTGTCCTCCCCCTCCCTGTTCCTAACAATTTGTGTGTTGTGTGTGTGTGTATTCTTGCAAAATGGGTGCTGCTTCAACTTGTGAATGACTCCGTCTTGCACAGAGGTCGGGTTAGGTTGAGTCAGACTTTTGGCGATGCCGGCCGAGCCGCCTGCCTCCAAGAAACGCCAGCCCTGCAGTACTCCCACGGGCGCCTCGGAAATCCAGTTCCTAAGGGCTAGGTGGAAATCCCCCACCCAGGAAAGACCCCTGTATTCGCGGGGAAAGGAGTCCAGTCCCGCCCGCGGATGCTGAAAAATGTGGGTTACTGCAAAATCTGTACATAACACTGTCTCTGGTTCCCCCTAGTGGCCAGTGGTGTTGATGTCATCATAATCTTAATAACAGAATGGCAGAGCTGGAAGGGACCTTGAGTCCAGCTCATGTCAAGGAGTCCCAGCGGGGAATCGAACTCCCAACCTCTGGCTCCACAGCTAGAGACCTCAACCACTGAGCTTTCAAGGGAGAAATGTATCTTTCCGACAATGTGTTAATATTTTCAGACCGTGGATAAGTGAATCAGCGAATACTGATCCTGTGAATATGGGGGAGTCCTGCTGTATTTGAATTATAGATCACACTTTCCTCCTCCTTGGTGCCTTGGCTTAAAGTATCTGATCTAGGGTTGCGTTTTCAATCGGGTTATGATTTTTGTGCAAGGAGGCGAAAAAGGAGGCCACCCGCCTTTTCATGTAGGCAGCCAGCCTCCTCCTTCACTCCCCCATTTCTTTTCAGAAGAGATAGATGGGGCGAAGTTGGAGTGGTCATCCGTGCGAATCCAGCTGCCTTTCCTCTTCTCTGCCGTGCTGATCCAAACCGAGGCCATTCCTTGAGAATGGGCGCTGGAATTCTCCCGCTTGCCCCGCGAATGCCCGTTTCCCTTCCTCGAGGAGTCTGTGCCGTAACATTGGTTTACACGAACTTGACTAGGGCCCTCTGTGGGTCTTGAGGCTGCCTTCTCCCCCCCCCATGCATGCATAAACACACACACACACACTCAAGCCCTCTGTGGGTCTTGAGGCTGCCTTCTCTTCCCCCCGCCATGCATGCACACAGAAGCTGCCTTTTCTTCCCTTCCACCTGAGCTGCGAAGGAGATGATGGTTAATACTTCGGAAAGAAGCAGGCTGGGGACCGTACATAAATATATGATAAAGTGCCGAGGCGCTCAATAATTCATGGCCGATTTGGAGGACAGCGAGAGAGAGCAAGAAGAGCACATAATTTGGGGTGGGGGCGGAGAGAGAGAAAAAAGCATGGATGGAAAGGGGAGAGAATACCCTTTTGGGGGGGGGGGTGGTCCAGTTTGCAGTAGAATGGAATTTTCCTGGAGTTTTCTTGACAGTGCTGTATATTTTTTGCCCTTCTTAAAAGAGCTTAACGTCCAACAAAACATATTTGCCTTTTTCCCGGCCTGCTGTTTTGTCTTGCGTGCCTTGCAATTTCCATTTCCTCCTGCAGCTTAGCAACGCCAGCGCTGCTCGAACCGGAGGAAAGCCAATGCCCCGGTCAAGCCAAGGGCTTCCTCGAATCTAGAGCCCTTTTCCAAGAATCGCTAGCCAGGCATCATCTCCCAGGAAGCCAATAAGCAAAGCCCTGCCTTGTCCCCAGCACTCGGTGAATCAGTGGTAGACTGCTCCTGGATAGAGCAGCTTCCTTATTGGTGTCGTGGCTGCAATTCAACTTTTGTAAATTGCACCCGAATTGAGGGCATGTTTTGATCCATTATGGGGGGCCAACAAGCCCCCCGCAATGGAGAATTGTGCCCCTGCAAGCCTCCAGGAGTTGTGATTTATTACTCTGCACCCATTTTCCTTATAAAAGTGGAAAAGTAGGTCAAAGACTCAAAACAAAAGTGAACGTCTGCCTACTTGTGGTTTCATCCAGAGGCAATCCACGCTGGATCTTAGAGGGTCGGCCTCCAGAGTTACCTATTCCTGCTGCTGTCTTTTAAGTATAAAGCAGGCACCAGCCTCTTGAGTATTTTGGACTATCTCTCCCATCAGCCTTAGTGAAAACTGCCAATGGTGGGAGATGATGGGATGTGTTGCTCAACGAGATCCGGGGGGCTGTATGTTTCTCATTTCTAATGTAAACGTGATTCTGTCTTGGTGCAAAGGTTATAACCGGGGCCTTTTGTGGTTGGGCATCGTGGGTAGGGGTTGCCCCAAGCTTCACATGGAGGCATGCATCAGCTGACATGGAGTCGTACCAGGGAGTGATGGAGAGAGGGTCACGCGGCCCGCCTGCTCCAGGCCTCTTTGTGTCTTCAAAAGACCCTGATCACAATGCATGTTCCTGACTGCTTCTGCTTTCTTGCACCACACTTTCTGCAGTTTCCCCCTTCCCAAGCCAGCCCAGGAATACACAGGCATGGAAATAGGGTAGCTAGAAGCAGTGGCTCAGCCTCCATCATGGTGCAGAGGGCTGGGAAGGAGAGAGGCACCCGGTTCAGAAGGCCTGATGTCAAAGCACACCCGTGCACCCGCCAAGGTGACCGCCCCGTAGAGCGTGCATCAGGCCCTCCGCACATCAAAGAAGTCTCTGGTGCTCTGGCATCTGGGTAGCTGTGAGGTTTCGACACCACGGCAGAGGAGAACATGTGAGAGCCCGGGTCCCATTGAGCACTGCTGGTTTATTGAGGACCGGGAGTGGGGGGTTGCACGCATGACTTGGGATCTCAAACCACAAAAGAGTTTGCTCGGGTGCGGAGCTCTGTATAAAAGGAGGTGTGAAGGACAGATACAGGGTGGGGTTCACGGGGCATGACAGGGAGAGTCCGTTTTGTCCATCCAGCAGCACCCCTTGCCCCCTCCTGCTGTGGGGGGCAGCCATCCCGGGTGGTCCGTCATGCACCTAGCCAAAATCCCCGGTCCCATCCTGGCAGTGGGGTGCCTGGTTTCTTACAGAGGCTGGAGGGGCTTTGAGGGCAACATTGAGATGGTGCCAATGCTTCCCCCCCCAAAAAAATAAAACCCTTTCTGTTATCCTTGGTGTGTTTTTTTCCGCACTTCTTGCAACCAAATCCACAGCCTTCCTGTTTTGGTTCCAAGGAGCTGCTGCGTTGAGTCGAAGGGATTTTTTTTGTTCCGGCCAAACAGATGTCAGGAAACACACGTGGAAGGGAGACCACTAGATCCGCGTCCCTGCCGCCACCAAGGGGGAAAGGGAGCGTGTGTGAGCGTCTGTGTCCAGCAGGCCTGGAGACCCTAAGTCGGCGCCTTGTTCGACAGGTAGGCGATGAGGGCCACCACGGCCCCGATGTAGGTGCATATGCCGAGGATGATGGACAGGACAGCGAGCGCAAAGGTCTGACGGGAGGCGGTCCATGCGCCTGGGTAGTCCCCCTTGGCGGACGCCTTGTTGGTCTGCAGGAGAAGAAAGGGGAAGAAAGGGAGCAGGTGAACATATCAGAAATTGACGTTGATGACTAAGAGCGGGGCCTTCTTGGGGGTGGCCCCCTCTTCGTAAAACAGGCCCCTTCCCTCCTAAAGACCCGTAAGAACACTGCTTTTCCTGGAGACATTTCCGGAGACCCTCCGTCTATCACTGCCTCTCATTTAGTGGTTTTTTTGGTCGTTATTTTGAAGTTTGTATCTTGTCCTCTGCCGCTGTCTTCAGTTTTTCAGGTATGTTGTTTTCCTTGATATGATACTATTATATTTCTGGGCTAACCGGTGTGCGGTAATGTTCTTTGTGTTTGCGTTATTGCTGAAACGGCCCAGAGGACTAGATAGCAAGACTAGACAATGCAATATAAAAATATAATCATCCATCCATTAATGCTAGCTACGAGCATGCAGGCACTCAGTCCATATCCTGTAAATTCTTGAAAAGTAATCATGGTGCTAGGATTCCTTCGCCCCAACAATGGAAAAACTGGCTTTTAGAAATATTCTGAGGTTGGAGCCCAGCTCAAATAAGTTTCTGAAGTCAGAAACAGTTGCACGGCTATAGATTCAGACGGCCATGCTTTTTGTCCTAAGTAATTACAGCCTAATATGTTTCTTGAGGTTTTCAAAAATTACTTTTTTGGAGTCCGTCTTTGTGAATCCCTCGGCCCGCAACAGGCATTCTTCCACGTCCCAATTCTGCTTTAATTATTTATTTCTTTGTCCTGTACAGAAATCCCTTCTGTGCAAGAAAGCAGAGTTTAAATAATTTACAGGCTGCAGTGGCAAACCTGAGCAGAATAAGAATTTGGACTGGCTGCCGCTGATGAGTTGCTAGCGGCTGGATTTGTCAATTTTAATGGATATGTCCCGAGTTCTAATGTCTGCCTGACAGGGAAGCACAAGGGAAGGCCTGGGAGAGAGAGAGCCTCCTTTGATTTTGCCTGGCGTGAGCGCCGTTTGCAAGTTGAGGACCTGTGGCAACTTTCCACGCTCTTACGCCAAGGGAGGGATATGAACGAAAGTGGAGGAAGCGCATGCCGCTTGTTTACATACGCAGCACATGAAAGCCAGGTGGTATAGCGGTTAGAGTACCGGACCTGGACATAGGAATACAAAGGGTTCAAATGCACCCTTGGTTGTGAAACTCACTGGCTGCTGGCCAGACCTCCTTCACCGGGTTGTCGTTAAGCGTAAAGTGTTGAGAGCTTTTGTAACCTTGCATGCTGCCTCTAGTAAGTGTGGCATGGAGGGACTTTTCTGGGCTGGCGTAACTGTCAATCTATCCAGCGCTAACCAATTGTGACATCCCTGCCTCTGAATTCAAAGAGAGGCCCGCCTCTCAGCTCAGTGCTTTTTCCCCTTCTCTAGAGACGACTGAAGTTTGTTGCTGAAAGCAGACCTGTGTATCGGTCTGCTGTTGGAACTGTTCAGTCGCAAGTAATGAAATATGTCCGTTCTTTCAACTACAAAATGATTCGGAGTGGGTTATTGAGACTGTCAGTGCCAGTTCATGAGATGGACGACTATGGGGAATTCGAAGCTATCCTGTTCTGTGAATCCCTGCGCCTCTGCTCCTCACTAGAGGAAATGAACCAACATGCAAACGTCTGCAGGACTTTCAGAGGCAGCTTCTGTGGGAAGAGTTGTTTTTTCCCCCCCTTTATATGGTTTCATCATTCATCTTCCACTCTCACCGCCAGCACCCCCCTTCCTCCGTTTCTCCTTCTAGTAATGCAGTGCAATCACCCACCTTTTGGGAGAGGTAAAAGGCAGCAATGCCTAGTGGCCAGAAGCAACACAACATGGAGAACACCGCTAAGCCCAGGTAGTCCTGAGGGAGGAGCATGGAGAAGCTGCTCTCGCTTTCTGTGTCGCTGTCGCTGGATGAATCATTCTAGGTGGAACAGAGGAAAAACAGAGATTGGCTTCACGAATGCCTGTTGCAGGGGGCCAAAGCCCCACCGCAGGACGGCTCAACCCATACAAGGGCTTTGCCCCCGGCTGCAAGCTGTCTCGGCACAGGGCATCCCCAAACACATTGTACCCCTTAAAGATCTTAAGCTCTCCCTGCAACTACAGACCTCATGGGAAGGGTCTTTTGCACCTGCACAAAGAAATTTTAAAAGTGGTCTTGCCAGATTCCTGGAGTAACAGGTGCGCCAGCAGAGTGGAAACCTGGGTTCAAATCTCTGCTCGGACATGAGAAATTCCCTGGAGGTTGGCATTGTTAAAACCAGTTCTTAAATATCCTACAAACCTCAGAAACCTGACTTAGGGTAGCTGTAAGTTAGAATAGACTTGGCAGCCTGTAAGACTGAAAGTTATTCTGGTATGGCACCCTTCCATCTCCGTGGCTTGCTCAATTTCTCTGCAATTTTGCTAATAATGAAAGAAACTGGGGCACGGATGGACCCAGTTAACCGACAAGGGTGAGACTCTCATGTTTCCTATTAGGATCATGCAATCCACGAGGGATCGGTCCCAAGCTGTCCCCCTGCAGATGCCAAAAAATACAGATGTATCGAACGCTATATATTGCATGGTCTCCAATTCCTTCTAGTGTTCCGTTCTGGTTAAAAAAAAAACACCCTGGAAATTCATAAGACTACGGCACCTATTCCTGAGGTTTTTGATTTGGTATTTTCCGGCAGCGGATAAGTGAATCAGTGGATACCGAGCCTATTGTACTGGAGCCATCTTGGCTCTTTGGAAGTCTAGCCCGGCTCTTACCTCTAGATCAGGCAACTCTGTGTCCCCCACTTCGTAGCAGACAGTATGAATATCCTTCTCGAGGGCCACTTTCCTGGGTAGCTCTCCGGCCTCCTTCTTGTCCCCAAAGGTGGTTTCGATGTAATCTTTCTTCTTCCACCCTTGAAGGTTATTTGGCTTCCACAACTCGGGGTACAGCGTGGGTTCTGGCGTGCGGTAGGGCTCCACCGTCCTCTGCAGGCTGCTGGGATCCAGGAGCTGGTTGGATAGAACGGCCGAGCTGGGCTGTAGCCAGGAGAGGTTGGGGGGCACCGGCCGTGTGAGCAGTCCGGGATGTTCGTGGGGGCCTGTTCGGCTTAGCATCCCCCTTGGGAGAGTCACCCTTCCCGGTGGCTTGGCCAGTAGGGGGTGCTGTAGCTCGTGGACATTCTCCATAGCGCCTCCTAGAGGAAATGGGTTGGGTTTTGCTTTCTTTTTCTGCTGTTTGGGGACTCCTGACTAGTAGTTCTTGGCTTTAGAGACCTTAAAGCGTTGAAACAAACGAGAGACAAGAGCAAATGGTATAACACAGGCAGATAGCGTCAAACCTTGAGGCCAAAACTTGGACCCAGCCCTCTGGGTCCCCAGATCATCATGCCTGCTTGCTTCTAGCAATGCTCCTTTGGGGAATACCTTGCTGCCTTCGCTTTGTAAAAACCCCTCTCCTAAAACTGGCTGGATAGCTCAGTCGTTTTGGGATCTGGCTGGAGAGCCAAAGGTTGGGAGTTTGATTCCCCCCACTGGGCCTCCTGCAATTAGAGCCAGCCTGGGTAGCCTTGGGCAAGCTGCAGAGCCCCAGGGCGCCCCCCAGAGGAAGGGAAGCGTAAACCACTTCTGGAAGACCCTGAAAAGCTTAGTTATAAGTCAGAATTGACTTTGACTCGACAGTACATGGTTATTATTATAGCTTACCTACTGAGCCTTAAACTTTTAAGTGAAGATATTTTGACATTTCTTTTTCCCCTCTTTGGCATTGCTAGAGGCTGAGAATCTGGCACTCGAGAGCTTCCCTCAAACCGAATATAACTTTTAGGTTGGAAATGCCACGTCTTACTGAAGGCGATGTATGGGCAAGCTGCAGAGCCCCAGGGCGCCCCCCAGAGGAAGGGAAGCGTAAACCACTTCTGGAAGACCCTGAAAAGCTTAGGTATAAGTCAGAATTGACTTTGACACGACAGTACATGGTTATTATTATAGCTTACCTACTGAGCTTTAAACTTTTAAGTGAAGATATTTTGACATTTCTAGTCCCACCTTTTCCCCTCTTTGGCATCGCCAGAGGCTGAGAATCTGCCACGGGAGAGCTTCCCTCAAACCGAATATAACTTTTAGGTTGGAAATGGTTTTGTTGCCACGTCTTACTGAAGGCGATGTAAAACGCTTTGGGTTTTTCGGTTCTGTTTTTGCAAGCTAATAATAACAGCGATAATCATCCTCTCGCCAGTAAAAGCAATAAAAGCAACGACAACAGCAACAACCGGGATAATGAAGTGGAATCTGTTTTTCCTCGGGATTTTGCATTCCTCCCGCCCCAGCTTGATGGAAGCCTCGCGAAGGCTCATGATATTGAATTCCTATAAGACAGGCTGTTTTCTCTTCCGAGCTCTCCTGCCCTCATCGCTGGGTAAGTTGGAAGCCACCTTCCCAGAGGCCAAGCCCTGAGGGAAACCATTTCTCCATTCCCCTTGTGAGGGAATTAGTTGAGTCAGGAGGCGGAGGAAGCTGCCAATGAGTCATTCACTCCTTCCCACAGAGACTCCCCTTTGGTTATCCCCGAGGCAGTTGAGCTTCTCTGCTTCACGGCCTCACGGACACAGGCACACACGCTCTCTCTGCTTATTCCCCTTTCTGCAGGTTCTTTACCCGCCGGGATGGAAGAGTTTGCCCAGAAATCCTCACGCTAGCCCACAAGAGCTGACCGAAGCGGCCCTGCTTTGGAGCAAAGTTGGCTGAGAGACGGCCAGCGTTCTTTATGAAGGCCAAGTAGCCCACAAGAGCTGACCGAAGCGGCCCTGTTTTGGAGCAAAGTTGGCTGAGAGACGGACAGTGTTCTTTAAGAAGGCAGAGAGAGAGAGAGAGAGAGAGAGAGATCAACTTGAAGACTAGCACAGTTGATTTGGTATAAAAATTCATGGGTACCATCTCACTTCACCAGAATCGGCCACATTGGGCTGCAAATGCTAATGCCACATAAAAACAATTCATCTTTCAGATATCACCAGCCTCTTGGGTAATGTGAACCCAACTGGTGGGTGCAACTTCTCCTGACAAAGGTCTTTCTTGAAGGGGGTCTTAAGTCCTATTTGTGTTTTTAAAGTAGCCATTTGGAGCTCATTCACTGAGTGAGGGGCAGTATTAATGCCACATAAAAACAATTCATCTTTCAAATATCACCAGTTGTGATGTGAACCCATCTGGTGGGTGCAACTTCTCCTGACATAGGTCTTTCTTGAGGGGGCTCTTAAGTCCTATTTGTGCTTTTAAAGTAGCCATTTGGAGCTCCTTCACTGAGCGAGAGGCAGCATAGAAATGCCACCCACCCATCCATCCATCCATCAAATATTTTGCAAGCTGCCTTCCCACTAAGAAGAAAATGGGATAGCAATTCTATCATTAATTCATTGGGGGGCACAAAGCATTCATTGAAAGCAACAAGAGTTACAGTCACTGCTTTCTTTCCCGTCTTCCTCCTCCTTTCTTCTCTTAAAGAATGGATAGCAAGTGTGGGAGTGATGATTCACCCCAAACATTGGGGGGGGGGACCTCTCCTTGCGCTGGTCACAAGCCACCTGGAAATAATACTAAGTTTGGTGAAGGCAAAAATATCAGGGTTTGCATAAGGCTTGAGTAACTTGCTGTGGATAATTGTGACTAACTGATGAGGTGCTAAGGTGCACGATAAGGCACATGACCAAGAGGAAAACTCCATCACCTTGTCAATTAGTTACAATGCGCTGCACAGACACAGATAACAGGATTCTGGTTGATGATTCTACGTATACCTGTACACTCAAAAGGAGAATTACTCCGCAGCCCCTTTTAAGAGTCCTGAATTTGGTTGGTTTAGCTCTCAGAAATAACAGAGAAGGCAAGAAATGCTCCCCTGTATGGTTTTGCTCAATTCCTGCACTTAGAAAACTCATTGGGAGGAGAAAAGGCTGTGATTAGCTGTGTCCCTACCCTGACACGTGTGTTTTGTAGGGGTTCCCCCATCTCATTAGGTTTTTCACAGTTGGGTATGATACAAAATTGGCATATTTTTAAAAAGGATGCCAGAAGGAAAAAAATTGGCCTCTGTTGATATTTGTAGGATTACAGTTCCCATCATGCCCAACTTCTGGATACATCGGCCGCATCTGATGGGAGCTGGAGTCCAGGATTGTTTAGAGAGCTGTGGGTTGGCTACCCCGACAGCACACAAATTTAGAGAGCGACAGGAGAAATGGTTTATGAAACCATCCATTGCTCCAGAATAATAAACACCATTGTGATGTCAATCTTCATGCCGTATTCACCACACTGCAATGAAATTCTGGTTCATTTATAAAATGGCGAGCTAAATCACAAAAGTCTCCCTGGTTTAAATTAAACCTTGAGATTTCAGACACAAGATGCAAGTAAATGTGGAAGAACAGGGACATGGGGGAAAAAAGCAGGCGTGCTGAAAGAGCTATCAGAAAAAGGAGGGGGGGAAAAGATAAAGAGGCATATAGGCTTGTGTAAAGGTGCATGAGTGAATGGGGAGGTGGAAATCTGAACATAATGGCTATTATTTGACTAGAAACTCCTGCATTTGAGCTAAATGGGGAAGATTGTGGCTGTATGACCTTGCCGTTTTTCCTCATTCTTCTGTCCAGCTGCTTACTGCAGGCAGATAATGTCTAGGTCTTTGGACCCCTTCCTTCCCTTTTTAAACCAAGGCGGAGGAATTCTAGGAGCAGTGATCTGAAAAAGCAAAATGTTCAAGTTCTGCTCCTGGCCACTGTCAGAGAGAGAGAGAGAGAGAGAGAGAGAGAGAGAGTTTAATCCCCAAAGTGAGCTTTAAAAAAATGGAAGACTTAAGAAGCATCGCCGGGTTGGGCACAAGACGCCTCTGGATCTATGCGCTGTGTGATTCATTAGAGCTGGCCAACCTTGCCTTCTCTCCTCTCCCCCCCCCCAACACCCTGCTCCGTTCGTTCAACCTTTATACAAACCGGCAGCCATCCACTGAGACGGAACAACAGTCGGGCGTGCTCTGAAGATGGCATGTTGCCATCTTGTGATTGCAGACAAGGAGAGACATATGGGGGCCTTTTTAAATGCCATTCAAGGCCTCTACCAATTCAGAGCCCGTGCACCGTGAAATCTGGCACAGTCGCATTGGGGTTCCCTTCGCTTGCGGGGGAGAGCCGAAGCAAACAGGCACCATGCTTGACTGCTCAGCACTGGTTAGGCCTCATCTTGAGTCCCGTGTCCAGTTCTGGATGTTGCTCTTTAAGGGAGGGTGCCAACAAACGGGAGCAAGTTTGGAGGAGGACAATCGGGGACGAGAAACCAAGCCATGGGAGAAAACACTTGAAAAAGTTGGGCAAGTTGAGCCTCGTGAAAAGAAGACTGATGGGGGATAGGATAGCACTCTTCAAAGACTTGAAAGGTATTTCTGCAGAGGAGAGACAGGATCTGTTCTTGATCGTCCCAGGGCGCAAGACACGTAATAATGGGATAAAGTGACAGGAAGCCGGCTCAAGGTTGACTCAGCCTTCCATCCTTCCGAGGTCGGTAAAATGAGTACCCAGCTTGCTGGGGGGCCAATGTGTAGCCTGTATAATTAAAATTGTAAACCGCCTGGAGAGTGCTTGTAGCGCTATGGGGCGGTATATAAGTCCAAAAAAATATATATCAGAAAAAACTTCCTAACTGTTAGAGCAGTACGACAATGGAGCCCAGGACCTCGGGAGGAGCTCCAACGCTGGAGGCGTTCAAGAGAAAATTGGACAACCCTCTGTCAGATCTACTTTGATTTGGATTCCTACCTTGAGCAGAGGGTTGGACGTGATAGCCTTAGAGGTCCTTTCCAATTCAGTTATTCTATGATTCACACATGGCATGGATGTGCACAGCAGAACCGGAGCGTGCCCTTCTGAAGCTGTTGTGTTTGCACACAAATTGATGTGTGTGAGAGAAGAAAGCAAGTGAGAGCTTGAGAACTTTTGATTCCCTTCAAAATTAACTTTTCCAAATTCTGCTCTGTGGAAAATTAAACTGTAATTCAGTTCCACTACCCTGGATTTGCAAACTTTGTCACAAAACCAGTGTGTATAACTTATGTAACTTTTAGCTGCCTTCGCATGGAGTATGGTGTTCACAGCAGCAGAGAGAAGGTTGTTTCCAAAATCTCCCATTATTTATCCTCATTGTTGATCTCGATGTTATACCTTTAAGATTTTCACATCCGTGTGGAATCGTGGTGATTGGTTTACCGTAAAACAGCTTAAAACGGC